ACTTGACTGCCTGCAAGGGGAGGGGCTTGTGCTCCCCTGCTCCCTTCATCCCTCTTAGCACTTGTGAGCTTTCTTTCTTATTTTTTCTATGCCCTTTATTTTCATTTTTTAAAAAATTTTAATTGTGATTTGGGTGAGAGTTTGCAAAGCAAATTGGTTTTCATTTCCACAATGCATACACGTTTTGTGGCTTGTGAGCTTTCTTAAGGTCTGGGGTGTGCCCTCTACCCTAGGCACTGGCTTCCCTTATATAATGGCAAACAACTACAGAGAACATTTGTGTCAGGCACAGTTCTAAGCCCTTTACATATATTATTTCATTTAATCTTCACAACAAGCCTATGAGTGCTGTTATTATCCCCATTTACAGACAAGGAAACTAAGTACCAAGGTCACACTGCTGCAGAGTCCTGCTCTTTGCTGCTGGACTCTATAGTTGGCCAGGAGTCCTTGGGTGGCACAAACAGTGAAGTGCTCCCCACTAACCACAAGGTTGACAGTTCACCTTTGGTAGTTCAAATACACCCAGAAGCGCCTCAGAAGAAAGCCATGACAATCTATTGAAATACCAGCTATTGGAAACCCTGCAGAACACAGTTCTACTCTGAAAGGAGTGCAGTTGCCATGTGTTGGAATTGACTCCATGGCAACTGGGTATAGCTTGGCTGATGGCCACTGAACAGCTCCTTTTTCTCTGGCCCTCTCCCTATCCTACTTATGCTCCTGGTTTTGGTCTCATGATTGTCAAGTTCTGAGACTTGAAGTCTGTCACTCAAAGGTACTCTACTCTCCCATTTACTTTTTCTCCCTCCCTCTCTCTGTACTTTAAAAATAGTTTGTTATTATTTACTGAAGTGATAACATAAAAGGAAATAGAACTAAAAGAAAAGTGACTTTGTCACTACAACAAACCAAAATGTTTTCACCATTATGAGTTCCCTTCCATCCCTTCTTCATTTTTTGTGTGCATGTCATTTTCATATTATTGCCATCCAAGGATCGATATCCCAGGGTGTAGTCTACCCTTATCACTTAACCGTGATGTCCATTAATGTATTATACCCAAAGCATGTTTACTAATCCTTCTTTCCATTTTTTAAAGTTTGGTTTTGTTTGACTGCCAACCCTGTTCTGCTCATCTAGCTTCTGTGTACCTCTGCCCCTCCTCACAGGCCTTCATCACCCATCTACTGGGCTGCACAGGCCACTTCTACAAATCCACAGATTCAAAACTTCCCCCATTTCTCCCTTGAAGAAGTACCATTTCCCCTTCTGCCCATCTGTCACCGCTGGGATGAACATGGCCCTGTTTGTCCTGCTCTGCCTCTTACTCTGCACATCTGCCTCTTCAAGGCACCCAGGAAGCCTTCCTCCTTGTGGTCTGCCTCCTTTCCCTTAGGGAAATGAACACTTGTGGTTTGTGTTATCAGTAGTTTAATTTCTATCAGGATGGAGGCTGGCTAATAATGATTCATGGTTTCAGACCCTCTATCCAATAAAAATGCTTCCTGCCTGCAGATGCAGCCCTGCTTGTTTGCTCTTCATTTTGCCCACAGCAGTTATTATCTGCTACAACTTATCAGTAAACAGGAAATAAAGCAATGAGCCTATTTGTTGTGGTTGCGGATTTTTCAGCACACTAGCTGGGGTCATGTTGAACAGTAAATGACAATGGGACAGGGACCACAAAGGATATATATAGTCTGTTGCTGGGTTTCAAGATTCCCCTGGGGGCAAATATTAGCCTTCTTCAGTCTTGCTAGCTTGAGATCTATGCAAAGAGATGGTCTGTCTGCTCTTTCCTTGAAAGGGACTGCAAAGATCATTTTCCAGGTGAGGAAACAGAGGCAAAACTCACTGGAGAAGACCTGAGGCTCAAGCTGATCAGAAAGATAACCAGGACTAGGAACCTACTCTGAATCCTACTACAACATTTCTCCTACAATTAAAAAAAAAAAATCATATTTCAAATATGGCAATGGTCCACAGTCATCGTCTCTTCCTACCTCATGGGTTTGTTTCAAATAGGAATCCATGCCAGTGTCAACAAGGCTATCCAAAGATCTTTGCTATCTGTGTGCATGTGCATGTTGTAAAACTAACATAGAGACAACTGCAAGTCAGAATCTCCCTTTGAATCTCCACTGAACGTTTTGAGTATTTGAAATCATGCTATAGAATTTAAACTTTCAGTTTCCTCTCAGATCTCCTGAGTCATTTCTTCAGCAGTTTCATCCTTGAAGAAAATAAAATAGGGCAAGGGGTTCTTGAGCTGAAGTGAGAAGGTACTGTAAGCATCTTTAGCGACCCAAAATGGTTAGATTTATTTTTTTTCTCTCTCCAAAATAGATGGAAATCAGACAACTCGGCAATATGGTATGTCCTGCCCCCCTGTGGATGCTGAGGGAGTTATCCATGGAGAAGCAAAACCGTGCTGGACGTGAAATAGTTTATAGGCATTTTCCAAGTTTAGCAAGGGACAGTGATGTCTACTAAGATAATTTTAAGAAATTAGAGAGTCATATATAAAGCTGTATAGCACCTGACCACAAAACATCCATAAACAAGAAATCTTTCTGCTCAGCTATAGGACCAAAAGCAGATAAAATTGTCCTGCTTCTATCTCAAAGCTTTGCTGTTACTAGTTTTTTTAATCATGATTGTCTTTTTACCCTAGGGAGACAAGAGTTTCTGAAATAAACAAAGAGGTTTATCTGTTTTAGTATTCACTGCTTATTAAAATGTTGTTTGAAAGACAGTTCTATAAAAGTGACTGGAGATATTTGGTTCATAGTAGATCCACTACCAAGGAGCCCAGGTTGTGGAATGGTTACCTCCTTGGCTGCTAATTCAAAGGTTAGTAGGTAGGTGGTTCAAATCTACCACCCGCTCTGTGGGAAAAAGAGGTGGCAGCCTGCTCCCATAAAGATTTCAGCCTTAGAAACTCTATGGAGCATTTCTATTCTGTCCTACAGGGTCTCTATACTCAGAAATGATCTTGTG